GGAAGACATAATATTCATCAATATATACCAACAAAATGAAAGAGCATCAAAAGATATGAGACAAACACTATCAAATCTGAAAACAGATATTTGAGAAAAAATATATATATATGTTAGAAGATTTGAACACCACACTCTCAACATGTACACATCAATAAAACAGATTAAACCAGGACACAATTGCCCTAAACAAAGAGCTAGACCACTATGGTTTAAGAAATATTTATAGGACACCACATCCCCCAAATAGCTGAATATGTATTTTTCTCAAATACATATGGATCATTCTTCAGGATCGATGACATATAGTGTCAAAAGACAAATATCAACAAATTTCTGAAGATTGAAATCATACCAAGTAGCTTCTTGGACCATTTATGTATCAAATTAGAAATCAGTTACTCAAGGAAAACAAGGAGATCCTCAAATAGTGATTGAAAGGCCACTGGGTCAATGAGGCAATACAAGAAAAAATACCTTGACACAAATGATACAAAGGCATAAAAATACCTTGACACAAATGATACAACCTTGCAAAAGATATCCAGCACAGCAAAAGCAGTACTAGGGGAAAGTGTAAAGCAACACAGGACCATATTATGAAATAAAAAAGAGTACCCCTCAAAAAACCCTAATCTCTTATCTTGAGGAACTAGAAAAAGAGGAACAAAAAATCCACTAGAATGAAAGAAATAATACAATTAAAGCACAAATAAATGAAATAGAAATCAAAAACATAGTACCAAAGATCAATGAACCCCAAAGCTGATTCTTTGAAAACAATCAAATAAGACAAACCTCAAGGTAGGCTCACAAAGAAAGAGGGAGAAAACTCAAAAAAATAAGATAAAAAATTAAAGAGGGAAAGTTACACAGACAAAGGAGAAATCCAGAGTATAACATATGAACATTTATATGTAAACAACTTCAACAATCTAGATGAGATAGTCAAGATCTTAAATTATACAATCACCCAATGATAAATTGAGAAAAATAGAAAATCTGAACAAGCCAATTACAAGAAACAAAATTTAAAGGGTAATCAAAACTTTCCCAAGAAACAAATGTCTAGGAAAAGATGGTTTGATAAGTGATATCTACCAAACTTTCAAAAATGAACTAGTACCTGTTCTGTTCAAACTCTTCAAAAAAAAATTGATAAGCAATACTTTTAAATACATTTTATAATACCAACAATACTCTAATCCCAAAACCAAGCAAAGACCAAAACACACCAAAAAAGAAAACTATGAACCTATCTTCCTAATGAACATAGATGCTAAAATCCTCAATAAAATCTTAGCAAACAGAGTCCAACCATGCATTAAAAGAATTGTACATCATGACCAAGTGTCATGTCAGGAATACAGGATAAGTCAATACCTGAAAATCCATCAATGTAATTGAATACCAACAAAAAGAAAGAAAAAATAATGATCATATCAATTAATGCTGAAAATAATGCATATGATAAAATTCAACATCCATTCATGATGAAAACCCTAAAAAAACTGGGGATAAATAACTAACATAATAATAGCCATAAATGACAAACCTACAGTGAACATCATTCTCAATGGTGAAAACAATGAGTCTTTCCACTAAGCTCTAACAAAATGCACACATGCCCACTCTCACCACTACTGGAAGCCCTAGCTAGAATAATCAGGCAAGAGAAAAACATAAAACAAATCAAAATTGGGAAAGAATAAATAAAACTGTAATTATTTGCTGATCACATGATGATATACATAGAGAAAATTGAAAATTCTATGAAAAAATTTTAACTATAAAGCAGTATAGTATAGTGACAGGTTACAAAATCAATACACAAAATTCAAATATCTTAGTATATGAGAAAAATGAACTAGAAGAGGAAGAAATTAAGATAGCCTTCATTTATAATCACCATCAAATAAAGGTATAATTATCTAGCCATAAACCTAACAAGGTTTATTTATTTTGGTTTGCTAATCAAAATAAATGTGAAGAGGTTTTTCACAATATTGAAAATAGTATTTAACATTTGTTTTATAGCAGTTGAACCCCCAACAAGGAGACTGCCCTGCCAAGCTTCTTCCCTAGAAACTATTTTATATAGGATATGTATTTATCATATCATTCCTGTTTTTAATATATGTCAGTGTTTTTTTTTTTTAAAGATTTATTTTATACAAGAACCGGGGTACAGGCCAGAGGTGCAGGAGGGTGAAAGGACTCAACAGAGACAGAGCAGGGAACAGAACAGGCAGACTGACAAAGTACACTGCTGAGGGGAGCAGCGGGTGAGACAGGAGAGGTCTGCTTCGCCAGGTGAGATTCTCGCCTGCGGCCGGGATCAAACCCACCTGCAAAGGCTGTGGACAGCTTCACAGTGCAGCGCTCAACCGACTGCACCGCTAGGGAGGCCCTGTTAGTGGTTTTACTTTATGTATGATGTTTTATTTTATATGATTTGATATGATATGTTATTTGATAATTTTAGGGTCTGGGAATGCTCAAATTTTTTTCATATAAGTAATGGCAACTTTTTCTTCCCTTTATGCCATTTCTGTTAATGAAAGTTTTCACAGAATGCTCTACATTTTAAATATTGGGAGAAAACTATACTGGATCCCTATGTAAAACAGAACTTTATGGCTTGAACTAATAAAAAGTTGACTAATATATTAAAAGTAAAACATTTTTCCAAAAGTATGCATTGTAATAAATCATATCAACTCAAAATTACAGAGAATTAATCACTTTTAATTAGTTGTAATTTTCACAAGGTAGGTTAGAAAAACAAGTGGTTAGTGAAAATGAGTTAGTACAACTTTGCTATTTATTTCTAATATGAATAAATGGCATCAAATCTTAGAATTAAATGACTGAGAACTTGATTTTCTTCAAATTAACTCATCCTCCCACTGGAAAAAAAATACCACTAAAAGTAATGAAGACTTAAGAGATTTAAAGCATAAAAGTCTAAAATTCATAAACAAAAAAAGCTTATGAGATTGAGAAAATTTTATTTTCTTATGGGTGGTGGGAAGAGAGATGAGAAAAGAGAGTTATTTGAAGAATACTAACATTGAAAAAAATCACCAACAAAAGCTTTTCTTTCATAAATTGAGTAAAAAACTGCTCAAAAAGCAAAACATAGTATTTGAACCATGTTGACTGAAAGGAAATTATGGAGTATACAAATTTTTAATTGTATTATATTTTTATAGAGTTAACATTGGTGTACAATACTGTATATGATTTAGTGGTAGAGGCTCACACTTCTTCAGATGGATGTTGCCATATTCTGCCACCACCAAAGCACCAAAAGTGAAGTGATATAATTATTTGAATTATGTAGATGCACTTGTATATTACTTAGTACCTTACCACCTTCACTGTCCTTAAAAATTAGAAAGGTTTGTTTACTTCTTTCTTTCTCCCCTGATCCCTTCTTTGTCAAAATCACTATCATCTTTTATTTGAGTTCTTTTCTAACTAGTCTCCTGAATTCCATGTTTGTCAGAACAATGTCTTCAAGATATAAAACATGTCAGTTCTAATTCCCTATGGAAACTGCTTCAGTCAGTGCATATTGCATCTGGAATAAAATGCAAACTCCTTATAAAGCACATAGACTAAAATAGGAAACACAATCAGAAAACTTTTATCTCATGTCCCGCCTTTAAAAACTAAGGGAGAGGGCCTCCCTGGTGGCGCAGGCCATTGAGCACCAAACTGTGAAGCTGTCTGCAGCCTCTGCAGTGCGGGTTCGATCCTGGCTGGCTGGCGAGAATCCCACCTGGCGAAGCAGACCTCTCCTGTCTCGCCCACTGTTCCCCTCAGCAGTGTATTTCGTCACTCTGCCTATTCTGCTCCCTGCTCTGTTTCTGGTGAATCCTCTCACCCTCCCGCGCCTCTGGCCTGTACCCCGGTTCTTGTAAAGAAATCTTTAAAAATAAATAAATAAATAAAATAAAAACTAAGGGGGAATTTGGACACTTCCTTGCCCTATCATGCTTCTTTCATCCTCCTCATTCTCCTTCCCATACACACACACACACACACACAGAGATGACCCACATCAATTTAGTCTTCCTGCCTAGCATGCTCAAGGTGGTTATCATGATCTTGTCACTAAATATCTCTATGGTTTGCTCACTTTCTACTTTACTGTACTCTGCATTTGAATCAGGTAGAATTGCTTGCAGCTCCATGAATCCACTCATCTCAGGCCATGGAACTTGGTGATTTACCTACTCAAATTTCTTTCTGTAAATTTTTCACCTATAAATTATTCATGAGGGATGACTCCTACACAATCCCTACCTCAAGCCTTTCATAACCAATTAGGTAGTATCAGACTCACCTTCTACTCTGCTTCTTATTCCTATTTGCCCATATTCTTACTACACCATAGTGTAAATAACTAAAGTGTCCTCAACTCCATGCCTATAAGAATAAACCTCATGAAAAAGTAGTAAAATTAATTTTATTTACAACAATAAAAATTTGTAAACTACTGTAAATTTATTTTTATTTTTAATTTAGAAATTTGAATAATTTCAGACTCTTTTCCAAACCATTTGCTATAAGACTTGTAGACAAATGATAAAACATCATTCACATGTGTTTATTTTTAACCAAATATGTGAAAGAAGGTATTTTGTTCCTAGAGAAGTTCACATGTAGCAAAATTTTGGGCAAGTGCACAAAAGAAGGACTATTTATATTTGAACAAAGAAATGTCTGATGTAAAAACAAGTTGATCAAATTTATTCCTGATGAAAGAGATTGCCATTCAAATAACCAAGATTCAATACAAATTTCTAAATACATTCTAAATTTCTAAATGCAACATTGTAAGCAACAAAAGAACATCATTATTGGTAATTGTTTCTTTTTCTTTACAAGATTATAAAAGTTACTTGCTTCAAAAACATTGAAAAGTAAGTATCCTGTTATATAAAAATACATAAACAAAAATCATGAGTTATTATAAGATTATACGTTACCTTTCAAATCTTTGTGTAATTTTCTGAGATCTTTCTGAAAATCTTCAAACTTCATCTGTGAGGCTTGAAAAAGGTCTTGGGGTTCTGGTAGTGGAAAGACAGACTGTTCTTTCCCAGAATCCTAGTTTGCAAAAAACATAATTTGTAAACATATTTGCATCAATATAAATAATATTAATAAACAGCAGCATTGGTAAAACAGCAATAACAAACAATGCCAAATCATACAAGAATAAATGTAAAAAATTACTATCCATAAAAATTGTCTTACCTCTTCAAAATTTCGAAGATAATAGGAAACAATATATGACAAAAGGCTTCTGCTGTTGTCCTAGACAGAAAAAACAAAGTTAAATATTTTTTAAATATTAATTATACAGTATTAAATAAATTCCAGTCAATCCATATTTATTAATGAGAATATGGTGAATAGAATAAGAAAGCCTACATTTTAAATCATATCTGTCATTTCAAAAGAGTTTAGTGGCACAGAAATTCTTGTTTGTCCCTAGTGTTCCCAGTTAAAGCTCCAAGTGAAAACGCAGGTGCTTAAATGTGTAATTTCAAATATAAATGCTTTCCAGATAGTAGCCCTATCAATGAGAATTCTATACAGCTGGACTGACAGGTGTTGCTCCAACAGTAAGTTTGATTGAGGTTTATTAGTTTATAAATAAGGAAAACATAAAAGTTAAGTATAATTCCTAATGCCTAAGAACCTTTAAGATACAATTATATAGATGTATTAGAAAGTATTATATCAGCAACTGAGATTGATGGATGAATATCCAAGCAATCATAAATAATGCAATGTGCACAGCTCATAAAAAAAGATGGAAACTTGTTTCATATTTAAAAATTTCATGAAAAGCTATTCAGCTTTTATCAAACACATTTAAAAGTATTACATTTTGAATATTGTTTTGGACATTTCTCAATATTACTACTACATAAACTGAATGTGGGAGACCAAATAATATATTTTATTTAAAATGCCATATGACACTAATTACACTCTCTGGATTGTCTAATCTCACCAAGACTTTCCCCTATTTATAAAATGAATGTCTTTTATGTCATTTGACATGATACGGTAATACATCTGTTAGAGACATTCCTCATAGTAATATACGAGTAAGTAGTAATAAAAATATATATAAAACAGCGATATACAGCAACAATAATAAAATTAATAATTTTATTGTAGAAACAGCATTTGTTAGCAAAAAAAACATATTTTCATTTTTGAAAGAAGTAGAATAGTTTCACCTCCCTGTTAATTTTTGACACTATAGGATTTCTTCCCATAGGTGTGGTCAACATAGCTTTCCCCCCACAAAAGCACCCATAGTCTTCCATCATAGTCCATTATGCTCTACTGTCCACACCCTATATAACCCCCTCATCGTCACACCTCATCCTCCCATCCACTTACGCACTTTTCAAGGACTAGTTTTAAAGTTTGTCTTTTTCAGACCCATTATTTGGTTTCTCTGTATTCCACATATAAGTGAAACCATCTAATATTTATCTTTTTTCTTCTCACTTATTTCACTCAACATAATTCCTTCCAGTTCTGGTCATGTTGCTGCAAATAGCCATCTGTACGTCTTTTCTGGAGAAGTGCCTATTTAGCTTTGTTGCCCATTTTGTTATTGGATTGTTGTCTTTCTTTTTGTTGAGTCATATGAGCCCTTTTTAGATCTTCAATGTCAGTACCTTATAAGATGAATGGTGTGCAAATATTTTCTAACATTCAATAGGGTGGCTCCATCCTGGATACTATCTCTGGGCAGAAGCTGTGCAGAAGCTTTTTAGTTTGGTGAAGTTCTAGCTAGTTCTTTATATTATCCTTTGATCCTTTGTTTTCCGTGCTGCTGGGGACGAGTCCACAAAGATATTTTTGAAATTTATATCATGAAATGTTAGACCAGTGTTTTTTTCTGTGTATTTTATGGTTTCAGTCTTTGATCCATTTAGAGCTGATTTTTGTGTATGATGTGAGGTAGTGATCTAGTTCATTAGTTTGCATATAACAGACCAATTTCCCACATCCATTTATTGAAGAAGCTTTCCTTGTTCCAGTGGATGTTCCTTGCTCCTTTGTCATGGATTTGTTTCCATAAATGTGTGGCTTCTTTTCTGGCTCTCAATTATATTACATTGGTCTATGTGTCTACTCTTGTTCCAATACCATAATGCTTTAATTATGATGATTTTGTAGTATAGTTTGAAGCTTGAAAGTGTAACACCACCATTTTTCTCCCTTTTAATTAGGATAGTTGTGGCTATTCAGGGTCTTTTGTGGTTCCATATGAATTTCTGTTATACATATTCCTTTTCTTTGAAGAATGACAATGATATTTTTATTGGGATTGTGTTGAGTCTGTAAATTGCTTTGGGTAGTATGCCCATTTTGACATTGATTCTTCTAATCCATGAGCAGGAGATATCTTTACTATTATTTTTATTCTATATTTTTAACAGTGTTTTATAGTTTTCCTTGTTTAACTCTTTCATCCTTTGTTAGGTTAATTGCCAGGTATTTAATAGTTTTTGATGAGATTGTAAGCAGGATGACTTTCTTAATATTTTCTTCTAGGTGACAGCCCATAGGTATGCAAATTATTTCTCTGTGTTGATTTTGTCACCTGCCACTTAGTTGGACTGGTTCATTTTTTTCCCCCATCTATCTTTAAAGTTTTCTACATATATTATAATGTAATCTGCAAATAATGATATCTTCTTATTTCCCAATTTATATTCCATTTATAGCTTTCTCTTGTCTAATTTCTTTAGCTAGCACTTATAGAAGTATGTTAAATAGTAGTGGTGAGAGTGACATCCTTGTCTGGTACCAGATCTTCAACGCAAAGGTTTTCATTTTTTTCACCATTGAGAATGATGTTAGGTGTGGGTTTGTCAAATATGGCTTTTATTATGTGAAGATGCATTCTATTTAGCTCCAAATGGTCAGGTTTTTTTGTTTGTTTGTTTTATTTTGTTTTGTGGGACCCTCGCCGGCAGCTGGGGAATGAACCAGAGCTGCAGAGGCTGCATGCAGCCTCGCAGCCCAGCGCTCAACCGCTGTGCCACCAGGGGAGGCCCACAGATGATCACGTTTTTTCATCATAAATGGATGGTGAAACTTAGCAAATGCTTTCTCAGTATCTATTGATATGATTTATGGTTTTCATTTTCCTTTTTATTGATCTGGTGAATTGTGTTTATTTATATTCAGATGTTAAACCATACTTGTGTTCCTGATATAAATCCCACTTGGTCATGATGTATGATCCCTTTAACGCACTGTTGGACACTGTATGCTAAGATTTTATTTTACCATCTTTGTTCATTAGGGAGACTGGTCTGTCATTTTTCTTTTTTGTGTTGGCTTTGTTTGGCTTTGGTATCAGAGTATTGCTGGTCTCATAAAAGTTGTTTGGAAGTATTCTTTCTCAATTTTTTGGAATAGCTTGAATGGGACAGGTATTAGTTCATTTTTGAAAGTTTGGTAGAACTCATTTATGAAACCATCAGATCTTGGTCTTTTGTTTTGGGGGAGATTTTTGATTACTGTTTCAATTTCCTTGCTTATGATTGGTTTATTCAGGTTTTCTATTTATTCCCTATTCATCCTTTATTATATAATTCTAAAAATATGCCCACCTCATTGATGTTTGCTTATGTGTCTATAATAATATTTTATTATCCTCTAAATTTCTGTGGTGTAACTCTCCGATTTTGTTTTTGATCCATTTGAATTTTCTCCTCTTTTCTTAGTGAGTCTATCTAGAGATTGTCTACTGATTTATTTATTTGTTTATGTATGTACATATTTATTTATTCAAAGAACCAGCTTTTGGCTTCATTGGTCTTTTGAACTGTATTTTTTGAATTCTATTTGTTTTATTTGTGCTCTAATTTTTATTATTTCATTCCTCTTACTTGCTTTGGATTTTTTGTTCTTTTTCTAATTTGTCAATATTAGAGACAAGTATATTTATTTGAGATATCTCTTGTCATGATGTCAGCTTGTATTGCTAATTCCTTCTCTCTGAGTGTTGCTTCTGCTGTACCTCATATGTCCTGGAATAGTGTGTCCTCATTGTCATTTGTCTCAAGCATTAATTTTTTTCTTTGATTCCCTTGTGGACACATTGGTCTCACAGTAATATACTGTTCAGTGTCCATGTATAGTGGTTTATCCTGCTTTCTTTTGTAGTTGATTTCTAGTTTGATACCTTTATGGTCCAAGATTATACTTGGTATAATTTCAATCTTCATGAATTATATATAATTGTATTGGGGCCCAATATGTGGTCAACCCTAGATGATGTTCCATGTACACTTAAAAACGTAAATTCTTTTGTGGGGTTGTAGTATCTATAGCACCCTATAGATCTCTATTAGGTCCATAAGGTGTAATACTCAAGCCATCTGTGGCAACATGGAGGGAGATGTAAGGGACTATGCTAAGCAAAATAAGTCAGAAGGAAAAAAATAAATACGGGTAAATGTTGGATGGTTTTACTTTATTTTTAATTTTTGCACAGAAGAACTGGGATGTGGGCCAGAGGTGCAAGGATGAGAGGATTCACCAGAGACAGAGTGGGGAGCAAAATAGGTGGGTTTACTGAAATGCACTGTGATGGGGAGCAGCAAGCAAAACAGGAGAGGTCTGTTACTGCCATATGTGGAAGCAGCTTCATGGCCTGGGATCAAACTCAGGTTGTAGTGGTGATAGTGCTGAGACGTAGCCACTAGGCCACCAGGAAGGTGCCTGGATGGTTTTACTTATATAAGGAGTATAGAGAAAACAAACAGGGCTGACAATAGATCTGAGGCATACATAATGGGAGGGGCCAGTGGAAGGGTCAAAACAGGGGAGGGAAGAGAACAAGGGACTATTGCCATGGATACCAGGTATATGATGTTGGGAGGACCATGGGGAGTACAACGGAGGGGAGAGAGGACATGTTGTTCAAAAATTACCAATGATTTAATATAATATTTATGTAAATTTAAAAATAATAAATAATAAATAAATACCAAGCTAACTGATGGCACTTGAGAGTGAGAAATTTCTTTTTTTTTAAAGATTTTTATTTATTTATACAAGAACTGGGGTACAGGCCAGACGTGCAGGAGGGTGAGAGGATTCACCAGAGACACAGCAGGGAACAGAACAGGCAGACTGACGAAGTACACTGCTGAGGGGAGCAGCAGGAGAGGCAAGAGAGGTCTGCCTGCCTCATGGGTTGCTCCGAGGCTGGCGGGGATCGAACTGGCACTGCAGAGGCTACAGACAGCTTCACAGTGCAGCGCTCAACCTCCTGCACCACCAGGGAGGCCCAAGAGTGAGAAATTTCTTCATAGGATTGATGGACTATTGAAGATGAACATAATTTTAGTATATTTATTTTTGCTTGAAATGCTTTTTTTTTAATTCAAGGAAAATTATTTTTCTTTTACCTGACCAATATCTTCAGCTATGTTAAATTTTGTTTTTTATGAGCAGAACCAAATTGTATTTACATTTTTCCATCTAATCTTGATACCATCATGATACGGTGGTATCTTTTACTTATATGAGAAATATAGAGAAATCAAACAGCTGACAATCGATTTGAGGTATACAGATCTATTGATGCATGTTCTTATTACTTATGACATTGTGTTTATAATAGAGGAATTTATTTGTCTATCCTTAGTACTGGAGAATTGGAAATATGATTCATTAATGAAGGTTTCATTGGATAGTTTCTGGGAGTTGAAATTTAGCAGAACCAAGAAGAGAGCCTATTATTTTGTCTGCAGGTTTCCAGAATATTCCAGAGTAGGTGGGGTAGGTTACTTCTATTTTTAGGCCTGGAGAAACCAGAAAGGAAAGCCTTGGGAACATCAAGAAGAAATCTAAGGTAGAATACAGTGAAATTGCCCTCTAGCCTAGCTCCTGAAATTTGCACAGGTCAAATGTTGAGAGTTCAATCTAATATTCCTTATAGAAAGCTGCAACAGAATGAAAAAAGTAAGTTATGCTTAGTTATTCTGCCCTTTCAGTTTATTCAAAAATAGACCAAATTAATGGATATTAGATTTAATTTACAAATGTCTTTTGCTGTATTATTTCATAGAAATTGGATATGGGTAGAGAAAAAAATGATTTCTCTCAACCACTTCTGAGTTTTTCTTGATTTTTTGACTGAATTTTTCTGTGATCTGTTTGCTATTTGTTGACTAATATTTTTAGCCTTTTATTGTACTTGAACCACTTTCTAGGAATGGAGGGAGGATTTTGCACATGATTAATTGGTATTTCCTTTGAATATACTGCAACCCTAGAGAGGCCTATCTTCTGAGGCGTCCCCCTAGGCCCTACATATTTGAATTCAGCACCATAGAAATTTTTACAAAAATGAAAGATAGGATTTGTCAGAGGAGACAACTGGGGTCTGGGCCAGCAGACTGGCATTAAAGCCAGAAGACTGAGTGACATCTTCCCCAGCCCCAACTCCATCCATCTAGCAAGCATGATTAGCATGCTTGAACCTGATCAGGGGACTGCTGGGAAGGTAGAAGAAGTAGGGCAGTGGAGAGTAGACACTTCCTTCCAGCACTTACTCTCTGCTCAGTTGATGTCGGTAGGATAAATGGTATGGCAGCACAGCTGAGGACTACAGGTTACTGAGAATGGGCTCAGCTACCTCAAAGCCAACCTCCACATCATTTGTCCCTCACTAATTCATCTTTGGCTTTCTCTACCCCTCTTTGCACTTTTTATATAAATAAACACTTATATTAAACTTCTTTTTATTTCTCCACTTTTGGGTATTTTCTTTTGTTCTTGAGCTTGCTGGTAAGGACTCACAACTGGGTATTTCACTTAATTTCTGGGTTTGGATGCTTTCAAATTCACTCATCATTTTTTGCTTTTTATTTTTTTTCTAAGTTTATTTATTTATTTTTTATAGAGGCATGTTTTATTTATTTATTTGTTTGTTTGTTTGTTTTGTTTATACATGCACTGGGTACAGTCAGAAGCGTGGGAGGGTGAGAGAACTCACCAGAGCCAGAGCAGGGAGCAGAGCAAGCAGAAGGACCGAAGTACACTGCTGAGGGGAGCAGCGGGCAGCAGGAGAGGTCTGCGCGCCATGTGGGACCATCCTCTGGTGGCCGGGGAGCAGCCAGGGATCGAACCTGCGCCACAGAGGCCGCGGGCAGCTTCGCAACCCAGCGTGCAACCGCTGTGCCACCGGGGAGGCCCATTTTTTGCTTTTTAAATGTGGGTAAGAAATATGTCACCAAAGGGTCAGATAAAAACCACACCAATAACAAACCCTAAAAATCTGGCTAGAGCATTGTGGTTACCAAAGGGAGGTAGTGAACAAAGTTGGAAGGGCCACAGTGAATTACCATGGAGGACTTTCAGTGCCTTAGTGGTGGGTGTGGTGTGTTAACATATATCTGAAGGCTGTGATCTTATGCCTCTAAATCATACACAGGGTTGTGAACCAATATTATCTCAATTTAAAAAAGAATTTAAAAAACAAGTTCTGTTGGCCTTTAGTGCTTACCATAAAAAAGAAGAAGAATTGGGCCTTTGGATGCACTTTCTTCTTTCCTTTTGCATGTAGTCTTGGAAACATAAATACTAACAGTATATATAGGGCCTCCCTGGTGGTGTAAGGGGTTAAGACTCAACCTATGAAACTATCTGCAGCCACTGCAGCACAAGTTTGATCCACACCCAGGGAGCTACCCACATGGCACAGCAGACCTCTCCTGTCTCGCCCACTGCTCCCCTCAGCAGTGTATTTCAGTCACTCTGCCTGTTCTGTACCCCACTCTGTCTCTTGTGAATCCTCTCACCCCCCACACCTCTGGCCTGTACCCCAGTTCTTGTATGCATAAATAAATCTTAAAAAAATAGTATATATAAATTATTGCTTAATGATTAACAGCAAATCATTACTTAATTCTCTCTCTTCCTAGTAACTTCTTTGTTTTAGCCATCAGTCCAGTAAGTGCAGAGTGGAGTATTTACTGGCCTGTGGTCAGACCTGTTTGTGGCACAGGTGTCTTACAAACACTGAACTTACTCTGACCTTGTCCTCATAGTAATATCCCTGCCTCTGGGCAGGGTTTGTCGTTCATTTTCTGAATAGGTGGCACATGGCTACGCAGCTCTAAAACCTCTTCTTTTCTCCTCCCCTCTCATATGTAGAATAAAGTCATCCCTTGTATTAGGCGCCTTGCAGACTATACAAGGAGAGGCCATTGAGGGCTCTGTGGAGGTCACTGTTGCTCTATCATATAAATAAATCTCAACTTCAAAATTAACTGGTGGTTTAGAGTCCTCATTGCAGTCTTGAGTAAGGAACTCAAGAACATACTACTGCTGGCTGGTGCCAGATATCATGTTTAATTAATGGAAATTAATTTCCTCAGAGTTCCACAGTCCACAAGGACATATATTAGCAGACATAGTAAACATAGAGTGAAAAAAGAGTTATTTTTACCATAAAATATCATTCCCTCAATTATTCATTAGAGATATGATTTGAAATTACCCTAGGAAGCATTATAATTAATTAAATCACTACTACATCAATGCTATCTATTCCTTTTATTTAGTTCAGAACATGAAGAAACTCTTAACCTTATTCCATAACAAAATGTCTAATCCTTATTTTGCATAATTTCATTCATACAAAATACTTACACTGCTTTTGACATCTTTCAGTTTTGGAAGAATGTCTAATCCGAAACCATCAGCCTGTCCACGAGTCTTATTTCCACCATTCATGTAGTTGCCAAAAGCAAGAACCAAACCCAGAACCTGCATAACCCCTGGGCCATTTTTTAATGTCTGTAAAAAAGGATAAGAAAAAATTTCTCTTACACAAAATTTTGTTTGAATTATCTTATCAATTACAGATATTTATTTTATACTAATAACTCAGGTTACATCCACATTTTATCATTATTGATTATTAGATATTGTGTGGTCAGTCCCCTACCCATACACCCCCAAAATAAAAGTGTCAGATAGACTGTCTCAATAGGGCCAGTGTAGGACTCTTATCACCTTTGTATGGGAACTAGAAGTCAATCAAGACCCTCTGAACCTCAAGAGACAGATCATCTTTACTTTAATGCAAATTGCTTTTCATGAGTCATCAGGTCCCTGAGGCTAAGAAAAGTATCTGTTCTTGTCCAAGTCTTTTTGCACCTCCACAATAAAAGAGGAGATCATTTTGTCCTAAACTTTTGCCTTTTCCCTTGGAAGAAACAATCACTGCCTTCCCTTTTATGATCCAGAAGAATATAGTTTTGGGTCTCATCCAGATATAGGTTTATCAGTAAATGTTTTCTCAATGTGTAAGAATCTAAGAGAATTCTCATTTTTACTTTCAGAGTAAAGGTATGATCATCCCCTACTTGTCTGTCATGTTAAGTCTCCTCTCTGTCCTTGATGTCTCAGGTCTTAAAACACAGAATAAAAATTTCTATTCCGCTACATCATTCTGCAACAGAGAGATCTCCACAGAAAGGGGAGTTTCTATGTTCCCTGCCCCATCTAATAAGGAGCAGAGATGAGCAAACACATGTAGCTATAGAAGACTTGGAGATGCAGGAAGAGAGACACACGGAGCAGAGAGACATAAAAAAGAAGTCCTGCTTGCTTCTTGGCTTTAAACTTGCACCAGGGATTTGAGAGACTTGGAAGTAAACACAAGGAGTTGAGAGATATAAAGACACTGGGAAGAGACACATGGGTGAAGACAGATGTGGGGGCTAACAATGGCAGCTGTTTTCTTGATTCATACTTCGATTTTACTCCTTTCCTCCCAGACTTGCCTGTCCTCTATTTTTTCAGAGTGTAATCTCCATTAAAAAAGAGAGATTCAATGTTTCCTGCCCCAACTGATGAGGGATAAGCTGAGCAGGGAGGAGAAACTGACAAAGACTGAGAAGGACTTGGAAGAAGATAGGAGAAGACACATGGAGCAGAGAAATATTTAGAAGAGGGTACACTTGCATCTCAGCTTTGGACTTGCACCAGGGACTTGGGGTACATGGAAGGAGACACTGGAGTTAAGACGTAGAGATACTTGGGAGAGACATGGGTGAGAAACCCACGGAGAGACTGACAATAGCAGATGTTGCTTTATTTCTATTTTTTCTCGTTTGGCCCCTTCTGCCCCTTCCCTGTGGATCCCTTCCAGAAGGTGCCTTAGACTTGTGGCAAGTTTTTGAGCCTCAGTGGCCCTGCTTTGGGCCAACCCTGTTTGGCTGGGCATTTATCCACAAGGGGATAGGTAATTCTGGGTATTTCACTGAGAAACTAACTTTGGGTGTTTCACTGGAAAAATAGTACACTTTCTTCTCTCCTTTCTCTATGCACACTTATCTATTAAAGTTCTTTCACACTAAGAATATGCTTTATCTTTATGTGGTGGATGGCTAAATGCATTTAGAGCATGCAAGTTTGGGGGTCCTGGTCTGCCAATCAGTTTGCATCCTTAACACTCTCAGCCCTTTCCTATGGGTCTCTGTCAGAAGGTGCCTTAAATTTGTGGCAAGCTTTTGGGCCTCAGCAATTCCACTACAGGTTGCACTATTTGGTTTGGCATTTATGCACAAGGGAATGGAGAACTCTGGGTGTTTTATTGAGAAACTATTATCATTTTATCCTCTCACTCTATGCACATGAATTCCATGAAAGTTCTTTCATACTAAGTATGATCTGTCTTTATGTGCCAGATGGCAAAACCTCTTCAGCATATGTAAGACTGGGGGTGCCAGGGTGCCTCTCAATCTGCCTACTAACAATACTTTACAACTATTTGAATTCTCTCTATATATGGTATTTAATTGTTTTTTCCTTTCCTAATCTGTCTGATGCTGTTTTGATTGCTTGCACCCTGATAACTTTTGTGCTCCAACAGTATATTTGAATAACAGTACATCCAAAGTTAACTTTAATAAGCATTCAGATATGCTTTTTGTAAGATGAAAGAGACCAATATAGTTTATTTCTATGGTGCAATTGCAAGAAACCAAATAAGACTATAATGAGATTATTACAAATTTATGTCATTTTCATCATCCTGATTGTTATACCTACTTCAGGAGCAATACCAAAATTATGGCATAAGTTGTGTGATAAAAAAATAATTATAAAGATTATGGCCATATTTCTATTTATCCCTAAAAAATTCACACTCATTTACTCCAAAACATTAAGTTTAACTTGAATTTGCCTGCCACTTTCTCTTAAATATGACTTTAATAACATCTTACTATTCTTCAAAATGACTTACTACAACCAGAATGAATGCTACTATTGATCTTTTGACAATTTTTAAAATGTTAATATTGGTAATTTCTGCCACACCTATCCTTTGTTTTTATAAAAATATCCATGTCCTCTTAAATTCCTAATCACTTGGTTGGAATCATTAACAATTTATTAAGGGATCATTCCTAAATTGAAGGGAAGTAAATAAATGCCTTCAAATAATATTAAATAGGAAATCTGATATATGAAAATGCAAATTTTCTATGGTAAAAGTAAAAGGTATAGAAATCTCTGATATTTACATGTAATGAGCATATGCTGACAATGTGGTCCTTCAGTCCTTATAGCCTATCTGATCATTTGCTTTGATCTTGAAGCTCAATCATAATATGTTCTCTTCTCTGGAACTCTAGCCTTTAAAGTTCATGACCATTTAGAGAAAATAAATAAAACTTTTTTTTTAAATATGAACTTGAGTGAACAGTATTAAATATCAATGTCCAATCAGCTCTCCATGGACCCACCTCACATAATTTCTGTAGCAATTCCAGTTTGCGTCGAATTGAGCATATGCTTTCTGAAAATGTGGACTGGAACAGGATGCAAAAAACTCGCTCTGAAAAGTTGGGGATTAGTGACAGTTCATAAAGGAACCTAAGGAAATAAAGTCAAGTTAAGAGGAAAAACATATTTCATTTAAACAGATGTTTATCCTGTATCTTTTATAACAATATGTAGAGAAGGCCTTGCATTGTTCAAATGGATAGAACCCACCCCTGATCTGAAGGCCTCCACAAGAGCCTAATTAGTAATATGCTTACTGTTCAGGTTTGTCCAGAGGCTTGGCATTTTCTTTGTCTTTAGAGGATCGGCCATGCTTTTCAATTTTTTCCAGTTCATCTGATTGTGCTCGCTGGGAAAACAAAAGTCAATTGTCTTTTCATAATCTTGTCAGTTGAGTCCTTTAGATATTGAAAATCTTAATATAGCCAAAACTCAAAGCTTTTATATTTCTTCGCATCTATGCAGTAAGTTTAAATTAATTTATGAGGCATTTCAAAATGGAAATATGTTTCTGCAAACCAGACCATCTTCCAAGTAATGCTATTGAATATTAGTGATCTACAAAACATTTATTTATTGAAGCTTTAAAACAATATAGTTTTACTCCCATTTTTTTTGGCTATTACTCTCTGGAATGCAAGAATTTCATTTTAAAGTGGAATTTCTTAATTCAAAATCAATAAAGTTAAATATGAAATAATTTTATTCTAAAGCTGTTACAACACTTTTAAAAGTTAAATATGAAATAATTTTATTCTAAAGCTGTTATAACACGTTTAAAAGAAAAGATTATTTTAACTACTGTAATCATTATTTAGAAACTTTCATATTAGAAGAAAAATAAATTGAAATATTAAGCAATGAAATAAAAAAAAAACAAGAATTTGAGTCTTCTGTTGAATTTTCTTTCTCATACAAAAAGATTCCAGCCATCAAGGTAAACCATGGACACCAGGAAGGCACAGTCCCTGTGCCATTGGGGGAAGTCAGGAACACCCAAAACCACCCCCTGGATCAGAGAGAGGGAGGGACCCAAAATAGGTTCAGTAGGGAAGTGCACACTGAGCAAAGCTGCTGCAGGCCTGTGGTGCCCACCCACCTGTGCTTTAGAACCCAGGTGAACTGGGGCACAGGATGCACCATCAAAGTGAACTGCAGGCACCACACCGGGAAAGGACAACCTCTGTGCTATTGTTCAAAAATAGAGACCCCAAGATCCCCTTGTAGAACTGAGAAAACACAGAGGGAGGGTATCCTCAGAGACAACATCTACCAACATACTCACATATCACTACCCCTGCCTGCCATGTACCTCGTAAATCCCAATAAAAGCCTGCAAAAGCCACTGAGGGCTCCAGGAGTCCTTCTTCATCCATCTGCTCGGGTCATAGAGATCCTGCTCTGTGCCCTTCCTGCTGCTACAGTCAGCCAGAGGGACACTGTCCTAATACCACGTAAAGCCTACTAACAGGATAGACGTTATTAGTCCACCTTGCTGGTAAACAAGCAATCAAGGTAATATTACAAAAAAAAATTACAGCTAAGAATGTTAATAAGGTAATGTTGATAAGATACACATGTTCATACCACAGTATATCACACAAAGATTCCAAATCCCTCTCTCTATTCTTTTCTTTTAAAGATTGATTGATTGATTGATTGATTGATTGATTGATACAAGAAATGGGGTACAGACCAGATGTGCAGGAGGGTGAGAGGATTCACCAAAGACAGAGCGGGAAACAGAACAGGCAGACTGACGAAATGCACTGCTGAGGGGAGCAGTGAGTGCGATAGGAGTGGTCTGCCGTGCCATGTGGGACCCTCGCCGGCTGGCCAGGATCGAACCAGCGCTACAGAGGCTGTGGACAGCTTCACAGCGCAGCACTCAACCTCTGCACCACTGGGGAGGCCCTCTCTCTATTCTTTTAAAAGAAATGAGTTCTGGGCCTCTGGGGTGGCACAGGTGGTTGAGTGCAGTGCTGTGAAGTTGTCCCCAGCCTCTACAGTGCGGGTTCCATCCCAGCTGGCTGGGGAGATTCCCACATGGTACAGTAGACCTCTCTTGTCTTGCCCGCTGATTCTTTCAGCAGTGTATTTCAGTCTGTCTGCCTGTTCTGTTCCCCAATCTGTCTCTGGTGAATCCTCTCACCCCCTGCACCTCTGGCCTGTACCCCAGTTATTGTATAAATAAATAAATCTTTAAAAAATAAATAAAAATAACTATAAGAGGTTTATGAGTTTATATGAGTTTTAACAGAAGAGTTAATCTGCTATCTTTAAGTCAAACCACATTCTACACTTAAATCATCACCCAGGGGGGAAAAAATAAGTCTGCCATTGTCAATGAAAAGAAAATATGAGATTGCTAAACCCCTGGGCAGGGTCAGGAATCCTGTGCCTGCAAAGAAGCTCAGGAGCATTTCTAAATCTAACAACTCTGGACTGTTGGCAAACATTCCCTTCTGGTGTCCCAACTGCCCTTAGAGTCAAAATGAGGCCTAATGCACATGTGTGAGCTCAGAAGGGACGTGTATCAACTGTGAGGTGATGATCCCTCCTACTCTATAGACAAGACAACTGGCAGCTTCTGTTGCTTTAGAAGGGGACTTAAATGATTCCATTCTGGTCCTGCTACTTCTGGAAGTCTGTGTGGGCATGCTGCAGCTGGCTCCTATTAAAAAAAAGTATAGGAAGAGGGCGGAGCAACATGGCGGCGAGGAGACGCTGCGAGTAAGATCTCCCATTAAAAAAAGTTAATAGGGAGGAAAAGCGGCAGGTCCCAGTGAGAACTGGGACACGGAAGATAAACGGACGACTCCAGCAAACTGCCCGAAGAAGAAAGTGGCCATAAAAGAGGACTAGAAGGGAGGGAAGCGCAGAACCCTGCTCCCCTCCCCCGCCCACAGAGGCAGCACTCTCCGACCGGCAGAGAGGAGAAAAACAACAAACCAAAACGGCCAACAAGAAAAACGGACACAGCAAGCGGGACTGTGAGTGGAAAGGAACTATTGCAGCCACCACACCCCGCGAACGGGAGCTGAGGCGAACCCTGCAGGATCCGCTGCGGAGGTGAGCTCCAGGTGCCATTAAAGAGAGCCCCGCCCCCCAGGAGGAGACCAGCCCCAGCACACAGCCCCGGCCGCCTGGCTGCTTGAAACTGACAGATGACTCCTGGAAGAACCAGAGGGGAACAGAGAAGCCCACCCAAGATGCCGGCCAGTCCCAACAACACAGTGTCCCAACGCATACAGCAAATTAGAAAACAGACAGTAGGGAGGAGAAGAACCACACGCAACCTAGCAACTCTCCAGAGAAAAAGCACACCACAAAAAGAAAGCCAGCCCCCAGATTGCAAAGACAATAACTTGGAAGAATTTCTGAGCCTTCCAGAAAGAGAATTTAAAATTGCCGTGATTAAAAAACTGACAGAAGTCATAAAGGAAAACAATGATAAGGGAAAAATAATCAACGATCAGAAGAATGCAATTGAGTCCCTAGAGAGGGAAAACAATGGTCAGAAGAAAGAAATTGAGTCCCTAAAGAGGGAAGTAAAAGAAATGCAGGAGATCAAAGAATTAATGGAAGAACTAAAGAATTCTGGGAAAAGCAATGAAAGCAGAATAGATGAAATGGAAGAACGAATAAGTAATCTTGAAGACACAGAAATAAAAAGAACCAAAACAGAAAAGGAAAGAGAAGTACGAAGGAAAAAGAACGAAGAAAGACTTCGGGAACTATCTGACTCCATGAGGAAAGGAAATATAAGAGTTATAGGAATACCAGAAGGAGAGGAGAGAGATGTAGGAACAGAGAAAATATTCAAAGAGATAATTGAAGAGAACTTCCCAAATGTGAAGAAGGAGCTGAAAATTGATATACAAGAAGCAAGAAGAACACCAAACTTCCACGACGAAAGGAAAAATACAGCAAGACACATAATAGTAAAGCTCCCAAGAATCCAGGACAAGGAAAAAATAATGAAGCTGGCAAGAGGGAAGAAACAGATAACATTCAAAGGAAAACCAATCAGGCTGACATCAGACTTCTCTGAAGAAACACTACGGGCAAGGAGAGAGTGGAGGGACATAGTCAACAGACTCCAAGAAAACAGATGCCAACCAAGAATACTCTATCCCGCAAAGCTCTCCTTCCTCTTTGAAGAAAGAATATGGACCTTCCCAGACAAACAGAAACTCCGGAATTTCATTGCAACTAAACCCCCACTCCAAAAAATACTACAAGGAGTCCTAAAGCCAGAACCTCAGAGGGACGAATAACAATGAAAGAAGGCCAAAAAAAAAAAAAAAGTTATTAAAAGAATAAATAAATAAAATCAAAGGAAAGACAAACACAATGGCAAATACAGATGTTAACATATCAATATTAACTCTAAATGTAAATGGACTAAACTCTTCAATAAAAAGACACAGAGTGGCAGCCTGGATTAAGAAACAAAACCCAACCTTTTGCTGTCTCCAGGAAACACATTTAGCTACAAAAGATAAAAATAGGCTCAAAGTTAAAGGATGGAAAACAATCCTACAAGCAAATGGACCAAAAAAGAAAGCAGGAACAGCTATACTTATATCAGATAAAACAGATTTCAAACTCAAAAAGATAAAAAGAGACCCCAATGGTCACTACATTATGATCAAGGGGACAATACTTCAAGAAGAAATAACACTCATTAACATATACTCACCAAACGAAGGAGCACCAAAATATATCAGACAACTGTTGTCCTCTCTGAAAACAGACATCAGAGAAAACACATACAGAGTAGGAGACTTCAACACACCACTATCAACAATGGATAGATCAACAAGACAAAAAATAAGTAAAGAAACCAAAGCTCTAAATAAGGACCTAGAGCAATTAGGCTTAACAGACATCTATAGAACACTAAACCCCAAAAAAACGGAGTACACATTTTTCTCAAGCGCACACGGATCATTCTCCAGGATCGATCACATACTGGGGCACAAGACAAACATCAACAGATACACCAAGATTGAAATCATATCAACCATCTTTTCTGACCATGAAGGCATCAAACTAGAAATAAACCATAAAAAGAAGGCAAGGAACTTTCCTACCTCATGGAGATTAAAAACCACACTACTGGAAGACCATTGGACTAATGAGGAGATCAAAGAAGAAATTAAAAAATTTTTTGAATTGAACGACAAGGAGGACACTAATATCCTAAATGTATGGGATGCAGCAAAAGCAGTAATAAGAGGAAAATATATAGCAATAGAAGCTCACATCAAGAAACAAGAAAGAACGCAAAGAAACAACCTCATCTCGAAGCTCAAAGATCTAGAAAAAGAACAACAAAAAAAC